AGTTAGTCAATTGATTGTTTTCTTTATCATTCACAATATGAAATTTTTAATAATATCCTTGACATATTGAGCAAGGAAATTTCTAATAAAATTATTTACAATTAAAAGTTCGGAATAATAATTTGTTTAAAAAATCATTAATTTATAAAAAAAATGTCTGTCTGGAACGCAATTCATATATATGAAGAACTTTTCAAATATACAAAAATATCTGTTTTGGTATGCTGGTTTATGTTGAACTATTATAAAATGTCTTCAGAATTCTTCAAACTAATTTTAAGTATGAATGTATATGATATGCAAACATACCCATATTCATATTAGACCCTTATATTATACTATTCCCTACACATGTACTTAAAATACCCAAATCATTTAATGGGTATTAAACTTTAGATTATAATTTCTCTTGAAATTTTATAATATAGTATATAGTTAATGCAATATATAATTGAAATATCATGATATAAGACACATTATTAAGTATTCTTTCCCACAAAGCAATTTACTTTTAATTCCCACAAAATTCAAAGAACAATTTAATTAAAATTAAATATTAAAAAATATATAAAAATAAAATCAAAATAAATAGCAATTATTTTTAATTAATTCATCGGAAATAAACCTTTAAAATCACAAATCCTCTTCAACAGAGGGTACGTAATTTTTTTTGATCTAATTATTTTGATTTTTTTAATATTATGTTTCCGTGAAATTTCCCGCGTTCAAATCTCCTTTCGTTAATCTAAATCATATATAAAAAATTTTAAAATTCAATACAAAATTTCATATTTTAATTTTAAATAATTTCAAAAAAATAAAAAAGAAAACCGCACGAACCTTAAATAAAAATTATGGCTTTTCGGAAAAAAAACAAAAACCCATACTATCTCAATATTCCTGTACAATTTTACACCTGTGCTGAACTTATTATTTTGAATACAGAAAACAAAAAAAAAAAAATTTTTTTTTTGTGTCCTGCTCTCCTAACATCACATATGCATAATTATTAATTGTTAGCATAGGTATATAGTATAAGAAGCAAGTATATCACTATAGTCACCATAGTACAACATGTTAAAACTACAAATTCATAAAGCACGTACCAAAAAAAAAAAAAAACCAAAAACTCGAAACCAATTTAAATTTTGTGGAATTTCCAAAAAAATTTGTTCGATCAATTGTTTATATTTTTGTTTCTTTAGATGGCGCTAGGTAATATAAAATAAAAACAATTGTATTATCACCTGTATACTATTTGTTTCACAGTTAATATACTCACTATATTATATTCGATATCTAATGCACGTGTACTCATTATTGTATCGCATAGTAAACAGTAATTATTTTGGGTTTTTCTTCTTTTTTTTGTTTTTGTTGTTTTACTATTACTGTACTTAATATCCTTTTTTAATTTTTTTTTTTTGGTTTTTTCGAAAACTGTTTTGTATTCAAAATGTTTAGTTTAAAGTATAAAAGAAATAATATTAAAAATTATAATTTTACTATATATACTCGTATATAGCTCTTTATACCTTATTGTATTTTCAGCTACCTGTTAGCATTTTTATTGTTCAAATATGTATGTGAGTTATGGTTTTAGTTTGATTTTTGTACCGACATGTTTATATTATGAATATACTATTATTATACCTGTGCGCATATTATTACGTATTCGTATACTAAAAAGTATATAGTAATGTTTTGTTTAATATATGCAAGTTATATACTAGAGGGTATAAATATGATTGAAATACTTAATTATGTTAAGTGTGGCAAAACCCAAAAATACCATAATATACAACTAACTAGGTAGGTATATATACACGAATTGTATACACATAACGTATTTATTTTATTTAGGATAATTAAGGCGTACATAATATATAATTTATTAGGAGTAGTTAGAGAGTAATACTTTTTTTTTGGGAAAAGACAAATATTAAGGAATTTCCTTGATTTAATTTTAGAAAAATTTGTGTATTGAAAAAATTTTTGTCATCAATATGTCTATAACGTTTTTGGGAAATACTACAATTATTATAAAATAACAATATACACGCAGATGGACAATATAACACTATGCGGATTGCTTTTTACGATATTGTGAATTGTAGAGCGTATTTAAATCTCATATACTTAGTTAATTTTTAAAATATGAAAAATTAAATTTTATTTTATTGTTAGAATTGCATTAATATGGAAATGAGAATTTTCAATATTATATATAAAATATTTTACTCATTATAATAATAATAAATAGAAACAGTATATAGGGTGGATAATAAAACTACATAAAATTTCCAATTTTCCATGCAAATTTACAATAAGCAACGTGGAAAGCCATAATTTATTTTTTTCACAGTATAAAGCAAAAGTAATCAACAATTTGGCTTTTAATTATGATTTTTCAATATTAAATGATAATTATGAGCACGATTTTGGTGCTGAATTCGAAGATTACACAATCCGGAGTTGTTTTTTCTCACCCATTCACCTTAATTTAAAAATCATCAATTATATTTTCAATATTATTTTTATAAATATGCAGTAATTGATTAATTTAGATAACAATCCCGTATTTAAATAATTAAGAAAACAAATTTTATGCGAACCTCTACAAAAAATAATCTAGAAAACTCAAATGAATTAGATTAATTAATTAATTTTTGCTAAAAATTTTTTTTAAAATTAGTTTTAATGAAAAAAATAATTAATATTAGAAGCTCTGCTCGGGCGCCAGTTTCCCGAAAATTGCTCGTTTAACTGAATAAGGTTTATTTGACGCTAACAATAATTATAACGCATTATATATGTGAGTTGTTAAAAGTTAAAAACACTAAAAAACAGTAAAAAAAATTACCCTATAATTAAAATTTATGGGAAAAACCACAAAGCATTTTGTGCAATCACAATATTATCCAACATTATAACTTGAATTATACCTGAAATATTTTATATTGTTACTAGAAATTTACAAAATTAAAATTCAAATTGCAATAATTTTAAAAATAATTTTCTTTGTCATCTATAAATGAAAATTTGTAATCAAATTTGATTTTGATGTGGTTATTGTGATAGGATTAATTTTGTTAAAAGATCCGATCGAATTTTTTAATAAGATTCCGGTTTATTATACTTAAAATTAAATGTGTAGAACATTTCTTGAATTTGAATTAATTTAAATTTTGATCTAGATCCTTATGGGTATAGGTAACCTTATCGGCTACAAATTATTATTAAATTTAAGTATTTTTTTTCTAAAGTAATTAAAAAAATTCAGTGAATAACATAATTTTAATTTTATAAATGAGTATAAGGTGGACGTGAATATTTTATAAAAATTACAAAAATTAAAATTTTTCTTATTTAATCATAAAAGTTTTATATTTTTACTTATTTTTCACCGCAATATAATAATAACAATTTAATTTGAACAATTAAAATAAAAAAAAAAAACAAAGAAATTAATTTTTAGAAACGAAATCTTTGGACCTCATCTATTAATCACGTCAATAATTTGTTGTGAGGACGTTTGCGGTTAAAAAATTATTAAAAATTAACAAAAGAAAAATAATGCGAGAATTTGAATTCTAAATTTGTAGAATTAAACATACAGCAAAAAAAAAACCCAAGAAAATTGGGCTTGATATTTTTTGAGTTAAGATTAAGAATTTCCACATAATTTGTATCGTAAGTAAATATTAATTTAATTAATTCATAAAATCTGAATCTTACGTTTTGGAACAAAAATATTTCTCAAATTTAATACTAAAAATTTGAATATTTCGAAGCATTTTTATTCGAAATTCATTCAAACATTTGAAATATTTGGCAAAAAGTTGACGGAAAACAAATTTTTTAGTTCAAACCTTTCATTAAAATAATTATTACAATTAATATAAATTCTAATTTCGAAATTTATATTATTCTGCAGGAAATAGAATTCTCATCTTCATATTGAAAGTTACCTAATAGCTGTAGATTTTGGTTCTAACCACTAGAGTCTGGTTAATTGAATTGGCTTGAAAGGACCAATTTTACCAAAATTTTATTTTAAATTAAAATTTAGCATTTTTATACTCATAAAAAATTCCTCATATTAATTAAACGAATTCGTACAAAAATATTCCATATGGATGAATTTTTCTTTTACATATTCTCCTAAAATATTTTACCGTCTCCAAAAAAAAAAAAAAAAAACTCATATTGGTACGTTTTGTATTAACACACCTGGTCGGTTAGTGCTCTTGTTCTGCTCAATAGTTCACAAAAACGAAAAAAAATTTTTTTTTTTTATTTTAGATTCCTTTTGTATTCCGATTCTCTTTTGATATTAATGTATATATATATAGTTTCCCTACCTGTATTGTAGTATTAGTAAAAATTTAAATCTACACATCATATTACACTACATATGTATGTACTACATATTATATGTGATGCACGGTGAACATGAATTGAACTTGCACATTAATAACACTATAAACAGCCCTCCGAAATTTTTGAAATGCATGTGTGCATGCAACATACCTTTATAATGTGCATACCATTAACCATTATAAAAGAAGGGAATTCCGTTTTTTTTTCTTCCAATATGTGATGTGTTTGTTTTTTCTCTTTATGTGTACATATTCTCTGCTGATTCAAAAGGAAGATGAATTGAAAAGAAAAAAAGAGAAAGAAAACAAAGAACGAAAAATTAAAATAAAAAATTTTTTTAGTCCTTTGCGCACGTGCTTTTGTCCAATAAAAGAATTTCTTTGAGTTTATTTTGGAAAAAAAAGAAGTAAAAATACTATTTTTCATTTAAAATTTTGTAGAGGGGATAATGAAAGAGTATAAATAGTGTTTCATGTTCAAGGATTAAATCATTCGAGTTGTAGCATTCATAACATAACATAACGGTTTACAATTAAAAGAGAAATTTAAATTTTAAAATTTTATTAATAATTTTGTTTTTCGATAAAAAAAGAAAAATTTAAAAAAACTAACAAAAAATGGATTATATGAAGTGCCCATTAAAAAAACGACCAATTTTTTATCAAATTAATGAAGAACAAATTGTTCAAAACAATCTACCATTGGATTATACAGACCAACCACAAGACTTATCATTAAAACGTAAAAATGAAATTCAAATTAATGAAATCAATGAATCGAAACGTTTTTGTCCAATTGATTTATCAATTGCATCAAATCCAAATAATTACAAAAAAGAAGAGGAACAAAATAGTACTAAATATTTTAGTCCAATAACTTGGCCACAACAAAATTATTTAACAACACAACATCAATTACATTATAATAAAATTGAGCGAAGATCAATAACTCCGGAATCGCTATCCGGTGATTCATATATATCACGTAATTCAACAATATCACCAATTAGTATCGAAATGCGTTATACAAATTACAATGAACAATCAATGTCACCAAGATTATCACCAATATCAGCAGTATCTTCTGGTTATAATAGTGATAATAGTAATTATCATAATAGTAATTATCATAATAGTAATTATCAAATTATAGAAAAATCATATCAAAATCAATCATTAGAATCAAATCATTATTATTATCAATTAAATGAAGAATATAAAACATCAACAATAATAACTGCAATTAAAGAAAATGAAGAACCTGAAGATTTATCAATAAGAAATTATATACCATTACCAATAGCAGAATTTAATAATGGATCATATTATAATCAATCCGAATCACAATTAAATTATAATAAAAATAAAATATTAGATGGTTCTTCAACATTATCGCTAACGGCAACCTCACCATCGTCTACTGGTACAGTTAAGAATACAATACGTTTTAATTGTGATAAATGTGGTAAATCATATTCAACATTTGCTGGCCTTACAAAACATTTACAATTCCATTGTCCAAAAATTGAAAGTAATCAAATTAAAAAAGTATTTAGTTGTCAAGATTGTAGTAAAATTTATAATTCATTGGGTGCCCTTAAAATGCATATTAGAACACATACATTACCATGTAAATGCAATATATGTGGTAAATCATTTTCGCGACCATGGTTATTACAAGGTCATATAAGAACACATACCGGAGAGAAACCATTTCAATGTGATCATTGCCCGAGAGCTTTTGCTGATCGTTCTAATTTAAGAGCCCATCAACAGACACATGTCGATGTCAAAAAATACAATTGTGAAAATTGTAAAAAATCATTTTCTCGTATGTCTTTATTACGAAAACATTGCGATGATAATGTAGAATGTCAAAGAATATGTCCAATAAGTAATTAATTTTAATTTTTTTTAATTTTTAATATAGAAAATTAATTTTTTTTTTAAATTAAATGTAAAATGTTCAATGAATTCTGAAGCTAAAAGTACCAAAGTTAATTTTGATTTTTAAGTTTTTTTTGTTTTTGCATTTTTATTGCATTGCAAAGGAAAAAGAAAGACTGATTTGCTATTTTAAATGAAGAAAGAAGAAAAATGTTTAAAAATCATTCTTTATAAAAATTTTTTTAATTAATTTAATTAAATTTATTTGTTAGTCTTTTGTAAATTTGAATTTGTTCAAATCTAGTCCATTAGATGATTAAGAAAATTTAATATAAAATGTAAGTTATTTTTTATAATAATGTTGAAAAAAAAAAAAATATAGAAAAGAAAAGTTTCAAAAAATTAAAATTGATTTTTATGATTTACTTTTGAAATAATTTTGAAAATTTCAGATCAAACTTTATGTACTTTTCCAAATATGTTAAAAATTGGCGAATTCTTTGTATGCCGATGGAAAATTAATAATGATAATAATTAATTTTATTAATGGGCAATACAAATGTCTCCAATATAACAGCATTCGAAACCGTTATACAAATCCACTTTTAAGCTTACTAGAAAGTGGCTGATTTTTCGGTCTCAGCTCTTGCAATAATGGTGAGTTACCTAAAATTTCGTAATCAATTTGTCTACTGCAAAGGTGTAGAAAGTTCTTATGACTTTATTAATATCAAGGTTTCTCAGGATTCTATCCCCGAACCAATATTATTCCTGATATTCATTAACGACATCCATAAACTTCCTCTGATAGGTGAGCCATTTTATGCAAATATATTGTAGATATTTATATATGTATATATATGCAAATGATTGTAGCTTATTTTATCTAGTTAATGATCTTCTTGTTATTAAGTCTAATATTGAACATGATTTAGTTGTGTTGTCTGAATTTTTTTAAATTAAATAAACTTGCTATGAATTCTCTCAAAACATAAATTATTAATTTTCAAATTGCGTAGGACTAATATTGCAGCTACACAAATTAGATTAGATAATATTGAAGAAGTAAGTGATTTAAAATGTAACTTTTGATAATAGTCTAAGTTGGCATCCTTATTTGGATAATCAATCATGTACAAACAATGGAATCATATTTAAGTTATCATATTCAATTAAGTTGAAAATGTATTTTGCTTTGCATGACTTAGTTTTGTCTTACGGGACTGCTACATGGGCATATTTTTATATAACGTTTTAAAACTTAGAATAGAGTACCCAAAAATATCTTGGGATTTCAAAACTCATTATAATATTTACGATATTACGATATACTATATCTCGTAGATTGTTACGAGTGAGAGCTATTCAACGTTGTCAGGTAATATTTGGTATTCATAGGATATTTAACGGTTTTGCTTATAGCACAATAGATTCTGTTCGGAGATTTAGTCATAATTTTAACACAATTTTTTAAGGATATTATTCGCAATTAAGAATCGAATACGTTATTATCATTTCAACGCATTTCTGAGACTGGTTCCAAGCTCTTTAATTAGCTACCATTAAATGTAAAGAACATTTTATTTTATACCACGGTTTACGTAAAGTCATAATAAAGGTCATAATAAAGGATCCCAGATTACTACAATAAAAACGTTTATTACAGCATTTTAACTAAATTAATCATAACCGTAAATGTACTGTTAAATTTATTAATTTTTTTCAACAAAATGTTGAAATGTCCTACAATAACATCTTTTCTTATTGTAACTGATGTTTGATAATGCTTTAATCTTTACTTTATTATTGTAGCAAAACAATTATATTTTTTTTAAGTTTTATAAATTTCAAGGCGAAAACTTTTTTTTTAAAACAAAACAACTTTAAAAATAACATCTCCCTAGGAATTAATAAACAAACAAAAAAAAAAAATATACAAAACACAATTTTATTTTCAAATTTTTAACTATGGAAGTGAATCATTGCGCATATAGATAAAGATCAATGATAACTTATTGAATATTTACAAAAATAAATGTGTAGATAAATGAACATGTGTCTAGATTAAATTAATAACTATAATTCGTTCAAAACTGTGGGGACACCTTAAATGTGAGTATTGTTCGAATTATGTCGAAATTATAAAAGTTCTATTATGTTAACCTTAAGATATTTGCACGAAATATGGATGAAGGCTAAACAAACATAGCAAGTTACATGCAACGTTTTAATATAGTGTATATATGTATTGCAACAACAATAGGCATTCAACAATAATATCCTTTCTGTGACTAATCAGAAGTTTGCAAATGCCAAGTGGCATGAGGCATTTACTTGTTTATGTGGCCGTGGACCCTGGAGTAGATGATTTATGGTTCAGGCGATATTTATATATTGTCGTCTGACGAGGAGGAAACGGTGACCGATATGCTGTGCTCATGGCCGGTGCTGGCGAGCTCAAAACGAAGGCTTCTTAGGTCTTGTTTCTTTCAGCACTTACATTTAACAAATGTAAATGCTAGGGTTACGGGCAGGCTAGTCACCTACCTAGTTAAACTCTATGACGCTATGAAACTAGTGCACGAGAAATCATGCACTAGCTCTATGCTCCTTCTAGGAGTGAATAAAGGAAAAAAAAAAAAAAAAAAAAAAATGCTAGGGTGCCTTCGTCGGTTTCTGAGGAACTCGACTGCTGAAAGAGCAAGGAAAAGATCCGACGATATCACAATGGCCTAAAAGGCCTAAATGTACCCTTCGGGAGAGCCGTACATTGCTCGTTCTCTTCTCCCTTCGGGAGATTATCGCGTACATTGCTCGTTTGCTTTTTTTGATGATTGTTAAATGGTGTGAGTATTATTTCATCGAACAAGATCTTTGGACATCTTACGCAATTAATAAAATAAAATAAATTCTCATTGAATAATGATTGAATTGAATAATATCGTAAGCATTTTAGAGCTTTTCAAATTTTCGTTCAATGAACATTTTTTTATCGTTATTTGCACCCGACTTTTTTTGGTGGAAGCATTCTTGTCACATCTATTACACCTTTAATTAGATTGGAATTTTTTGCCTTTTTACAGTACACTTATACTTAATTCAGTTTAAAGTTTTCCTAACTTACATTTCCGAATTCTTGAAAATCGGATTGTATGACACTTTGTAAGTTGCATGATCTCTTGAATTTATGAACTGTATGATCTCTTGAGAGTCCATTTTGTCTAAAATTTGGGATAAATAACATTTTAAATGGAACAATAATTTTATAACAGCTTTTTGTACATTTTTGCCAATAGAAATTATACGGGTATTTAATAACGAAATTATTAACATACATTCATATAACTTTGTCAAATGTCATCATGAAATTTAATGTTTTTATAGCAAAAAAAAAACTTAATGCGATTTCATTCTCTGTCTCTTTCTGCTAAACTTATTAATTTCAAAATAATTTTAAAGCAATTTTTTTTTTAGTTTTTTCTTTTTCAAATTTTGCTATTTTTTCCAAATTCTGCATAAAGTGAATTAGAAAAAAAAAGTATAGTATTTAGAGGGCATCACAAATTCGTACAATAAAGTTTTCTATAAAGTAGTTGTACGTGATTTGAGCTTCAAGGACAATCTGCATTAGTAATAATGGCGTCCTATACACATATATAAAGTTGTTTACCTGAGCTCTCTTGTTTAAATTGTACCATACACTTATGATATTATTCATAAGATTTTTATATTTTGTAGACGCAGCATGAGATTTTAAGTATTATATTGTTTTTTCTTTTCTTCTCTCGGGATAGATCAATCCTATATTGATTCAAAAATAATGTTCGCATATATTTATGTACATATAAACAAAATAAATATACTATGTAGAATTAAATTTGTACAGGCGCCTGTTAATTTTTCATGTGAAATTTTTAGCGCCTTAAAAGATTTAAACAATACCATTATAAATATCCTAAAGATATTTAGTTGTGACATTGGATATGAATTGTTTAATGCATAAGAGAATTTTCTGGTTTCGTAAAATTTGTTATCAGCCAAGAACAGTGTAGATAATGAGCTCAAATATAATTTCTGTGTATATACACATTTGTTCACATTATGTATATATTTTTAATAAAGGTGTCAAAAAGGTAACATAATAATGTTGAAGAAAAACGAATCAACCCTCTATATAATAAAATTGTTAAAATGTGTGAAAAAATTTGTGCCATCTAAAATCGTTTACATTGTATACTTGTACAAAAGATATTGTCAATTTATGCACATGCAATGAGTGTCTGTTTTCCATATGTGAGATTTTTGTTCCCTGTTTTTTTTTTTTTATTTCATATGAAATATTTAATTGTAATTGATTTTTTTTAAAGGACCGCGGCGGCACCTTCTTGAGCATAGTTGAAGTTTTCTTAAATAATGGATTTTTCAATGTAAGTGCTATAACGATATTGTAATGAATATATTGGTAAAGGTATAAATTGTATATGAATTTGGAAAATTTAACAGGCAATAAAATGTTTTATACAAGCCACTGTACTACATGTGTATATCAAATATCACATGTGAATACTTTGAGTATGTAAAATTAAATATGAAAATATTCACTTAATTTATTGTTCTTCCTAGATGAAAGAATAAAGTTGGAGGCATCCGATCGGAACTCTGATGAATAGAACCTTATATATTAAGGAACTCTCCAGAAATGAACCTTATATTAAAAGAATTTTTTAACTTAGTCGAATGTCCAATATTTTGAACAATCGGTACACTTATTATTGTTAAAATAATGGGCTTAAAATAATGAGTTGACTTTCAACTGGTTTTCATTTTTAAAATTCTATTAGTAGAACAATGCCAATTGTTTGAGTTCTGATCGACTAAGAGCTGTACAACAAATTTGACTAATGCAATCGTTTCTTGTAATTTGGGCTTTAAAAGAACTGATAAGGTGAAGTAATCATTTATTCAGTTGTACGTTTCAATGTAATTGACTTATAATAAAAATTTTATTTTTCTTTTGATCATTTGTAAATAGAATGACCGTGCTAAAGAGCTTAACTTTCAGTTTAATTCAGAAAATGTAGAATTATGCATGATTCTGTCTTCTTTATTTATAGACTACTTACTATAAATATTTATGACAAACAAAATTTTGACATATTATTATTTTCACCAAATTTAATGTTATTCAATGAAAATAAACGTCATATAAAAAAAGCTAGTTTTGTTGATAAAAATAATGAAGTTTCCGAAAATCAATATTATTTTTTGTTTTTTTTGCTTGTTCCATCATTTTACCACATGTTTCTACATAAATATTTTATACAATATAGGTGATTGAATAAATTGGAAATCTTAAAAGAATTGATTCTTATCTTTTTAAAATTCACTAAAAAAATTATTTTAACATGCATTTATGTTAAATTTGACATATAAGTTTTAATTTTTTGTTTTCGACGACATGTACAAATTTTATTTTTTTTTTGTGTTTATTTCTAAAATTTTGCATTTATAAATTTTTTTTGGAACATAAATTTATTC